GATATTTGCATTCATAACAACTAGCCTTTAGAAAACAGATACCAGAATGACGCATAGAAGAACAAATTCTCTATACAGTAAGTTCAAAAAAAAATTTAGTTTACCTTTTAAACAATTAAAAAATAACTACTCAAAACACGTTTTGCTTTGTGCACTGGAATATTGAAACTGAATACCTGCATGGGCACAGTCCCTCTCTCTTATAAAGTATTGGGTAACTACTGATTTCAAAATTACTATCTAAATGCCTTGGGGCAGCAAAAAACCCAAATGCCCTGATTTATGACGACTGAAAGCATGATCCACAGTTTTGTATCTAATCCATGTATGTATTCCTACAGCCTCCATCTCCATCAGCTTGGTTTTGTGTGCACCAAGCATCAATCCCCCAGTTTGTCTGGGTTCCTTCCAAATGCCCAGAGCGCAAACAACCCGAGAGCGCAGGCCCCGCGCTGTGACAATGCGCTCTTGTCACAGGAGCTGCCACAGACCCTTAACTTCGCACTGGCAGGTCTGTCTGCGATGTGGCCCGTTCCCTTGGCTGTCCCCAGGCCGCTCTACCTCGGGATGCCGATGGACTGATGTAAGCATTTGAAATGAGCTTGCTTGGGAGTGCCTAGATTAGCTGTGTTGCCAGGCTCTAGCCACTCTAACCCCCTTTTCCACTTCAGTGGGCTGAGCTTTTGACACTCTGAAAAGCACCATTTAAAATTAATTAAAGCTCCTTATTTTGTACCAAATCTCACCACTATCATCTCTGTTTATTACGTTTTATGCAGGGTGGGGGGTACCAGTCAGCAAGGTGTTCTGGGCTGGGCTACCAATACTCATGGATGAGGGGACATTTGCAGGGCAAACACAATGTGAAAGGTATTTCCACAAATCACAGCTTTTGCACAGATTACTGGACTCCTCTGGTGGAATCCACATGTCACACTGCTAGGCAAGGCAAACTTTCTGGCAACAGCTTTTTATGGAGATTTATTCCATTCTTTTACTACTGTGCACAACATTGCAAAGTTTTACTTGTGATTTTTACCAAGTAATTTTGTAAAAATAATTCACTGTGAACTGCCACAAAATAGGTTAACACACATATGTTCAGGCCAACTATTTTTCATTCTATATGCTACAGCTGCTTTATGAATATTTTTTAAAAGTTGGAGGCAAATATTGTCTTTTGGTTTTCTTTTCTGAAAGACCTTCTGCCCATCTGATAAAAAACAATAAAAGAATTTAAAGATTATTTTACTGCATGTTTGAACTGTTACCTACAAGATAGCGCAATGCAGTCATGTAAATTTGTGCATACAAAATTTTATTAGATGGCTGCTCATTGTGAAGGAGATCACAACAGTGAACTAATCCAGCACATGAAGTGTTCTTCAACACTTCATATTTGGCAAACATCAAATTTCTGAACTATCCACCAAAATGTAAATGGCATACTTGATATTCAAACTAACAGCATGTTGTCCCATACAAAATAGTGTTCTTTAAATGTTAGGCATTGATTGTATAGCACTTGGTGCTTCTGTGGTATTTTTAAATATGATGTTGACAAACACTGAAAAAGAACAAAAATGTAACACAAAAGGTGCAAAGTAAAATGATATAAAAGCAACAGTTAGAAGCAACTCTTGCATTCAGAGTGCAGGGACATGAAACCTGATGTAGCTGCTGTATTCATGATCCAGCGAGCTCAGAGGATGCCCAGCTAGTCAAAACAATTAGCCTGACACATCATTACTCATACTGGAACAGCTTCACTTTACATTGCTTTAGACAGGGCAGTAGCATAATAGGCTCTTCAGGGTTTTAGAGCGAAAAAATCTCTTGGATTCAAAACCACTTACAATTCTGTGAAATTCTCCTTTTTGAACAAAACTAAAAAGAAAGGAATTTTTAGATGGGATTTGAGCTATACACAGACATGACTGCAGAAATATAAACATTAGCAATTGTTGGGGATTTCTGAAAGGTGTACTTTTTTTGTAGATCCTGCTTTTTCAGTTACTCACAGAGCAAACAACAATTTACCTACTAGAGAAAATGTGTCAGAATCTAGCCCTAAATCTAATACATCTCAACTGTTCTACTGCACAGTCTCAATTTTAATTCCCCTATGTGCTTATGCCAATTGCCTGTTGGCAGTATAGATAAGGCAAGGGAAACAAAACCCCAACACTATAGACAGAATTATTTTGTTTTTGGCAATCGCTTGTGGAAAACAGGAAAGGTTTCCTTCAAGAGGAAAATTAAACATCTGTAAACATATTTATATCTGTAAATATCTATAGTGTTTACTTAAAATAAGTTAATATCCTTTCCTTTAAGACTCAGAGGATTCTTCTCTGCTCCTAAGCATCCCAACTTGTACAAATGTCCTTACACTGGGTTAAACCCCCTTCATTGCTCTGCCCCTTTTGCAGACATCTGTACCTGTGATGAGAGAGTATGAAATGCCTCCAAATCACAGAGCACGGTTTTATGTACCAGTGCCGGTATAAACTAATAGCAACACAAGACATTAGGCAGGAAAGAACCAGGCACTGAACGCTACAGTCCCATAAGAAAGAGTATCCAGAACATAAATGCTGCTACAAGTTCCTTTTTTAACCAGAAGGAGTCTTCCCATACTTCTCTCAGAGAGCTGAATCAGGTTAAGGACAAATATTTCTGCATGAGATACACAAGGGCAAAGAGTCCCAAGAGGTCTCACTGAAGATTAATAGGAGTTCAAAAGCACTGGCACAGTACAGTCTGAGACCTCAAGTCAATTCCATTGCAAATCCAAGTGATTAAGATAAATAAATTGCAAACAAAATGTCTCTGCATTGTTTCCTAGACATCCACAGACCCTACTGCCACTATCTCCTCCGAGCCCTGTGCTGCCTACTGTTGGGACATCACAACAACAAACTAACTCGGGAGTGGGTCTCCAGTTAAAATCTCTCTCACTCTCTATTATCCTGATTATTTTTAATCTGGCAAGATCTGTGTCTGAGCATGCTGCCTTCTCACCCACAACACACTCTCATAAACTGCCATGCCAATAGGAACGAGGGGAAAGCCTGGATCAAGAATAGGTGGCCAACAGTTTTGTGAGCTGACATTGCTCCGCGAAAAAAACTCTGCACAACACCTTTGATTACACAGAAACTCTCACAGTGAATGAAACCTGAAGTCCAACATACTTTGTGTCTTGTCTAAGAGTTATGCTGATTTTTATTTTTATATATATATATATATATAAAAAATATGTAGTCTTGCGCAATGCGAGGCGTATTCTCTGATACTTAAGTAAGGAGTCCACAATTATTTTCAGAAACATGCAACTGTTGGAGCCCACTGTTTGCTCTGTGAGCATTTGCGCTGATAGAGTTCATCTACAAACGTGCTTGTGGGGACTGAAAATAAAGTGGAAGCCAAACAGATTTTGAAAACTGACCTGGAAATACCACCCTGGGAGTTTTCTGCTATCATCATAGAAGCCTCTTATATAAACCAGTCAAGATGCATTTAAAAATACATATTAGTCCATTTTCCCCATAGGGAAAAGTTTTTCTGATGATGAGTCTTATCATGTTAAGCCTGACCAATCATGGTCAATTCCTGCTAATTTCTTCTCATGGCATCGCTAGTTCTTCACTACGCCTCCATTTTGCTTATCTTTCTGATAAGACAGAAAATGTCCCTCTCAAGAGAGAAAATAATTAATTAAAAAAGAAGTTATAAAACATTATAGATTAATTTTGGACTAATATTATGATTTTTTTGAAGTTATGCTAATAGAAAGTCTTTTAGAAATTAATGTAGGTCCCTATGCCATGCAAATTTCCATCAGTTTTTGGGTGTTCATGGGAATAAAAAATGGGACTTGACTGTCTCATAAATTTTACCTGCTCTCCTCAGAGAAACAAGCATCCGTAGGGTCCTTTTATCTCTCTAGCTAAAAGGAATAAAACCAAGAGTTCTCAAATCAAAACACCATGGAAGAAATGCCTCTTGACAGTCAGACAGATACATTATTGCCAAGGAAATTTTTATGTTAAGCAAAACAAAGAAAAATCTCACCCTACCAAGAACTCGTTCTTTTTCATCACTACACTCATCAGTAATCATCTGTCAGTGATGTTTCTCCTGTATGAGAAGACTGAAGTATCTGAACTGAAGCTGTAATCCAGCTTCTATGTGTAACTGATCTGTTTATAAGTAATCCATTGGTTGTTACATCCTACTGACATGACAAATTTTCTTCCCTCCTCTCACCAAGGGTAGCACAAATACGTATTTAAACAAAAGCAAAACATCATCAGTGCACATTCTCTTTTCTTGTCGGAATGGAATTGACAAAGGAATAATCCCTTGTTGAGAGTTTTCTCTCCTTCTCCTCTCTTTTTCCCCTCTGCTTAAAAGACTATGAACATCTGCTTCCCTTGTTTTCCTAAACAAGTCTTTGAAAAACACCAATTCATCCTGCAAGCTTTAGGAAGTTTACTGATCCTATCGGCTTAATAGCACACTGCTACACTCAAAAGAAGGCACTAGTGCTCTTGACTTTTTAAAGCATGGCAAAGACATCAGGCACTCCAGCACATCCTTAGTCGCGTACAACAAATTAAATAACGAGATAGCCACGAATCCCTGGGACCAGCTAGTATTTTTTTTGCTCCAGCGTTACATTTTACTTATTTATTCACACCATCAGTAGGAAATGATTGCTCAGCATCCAGCTGGGCCTTCAGTTGTGCTGTTCAAAGGGAAAGCCTTTCAAATGCCAATACAAAGATCAAGGGTTAAGGTCCCAGTTCTGCTTCACTTGCAGATGCTGGAAGTTGCTAATTTCAGGAGATTTTGGTCCATCAAAAGTAAGCATATCATAACAAAATCTCCCACTCTACCAGGAACTGAAAGGCCTAACCTCTGTATTTCAGATTTGTCAGGAATAATGGAATTTGGTAAAAATCCTGAACTTGTTCTTCTCATTCCTGTTACAGTGATGCACTGGCTCCATCATTTCCATACCAGCAGGCATGGCAAGAAGGACAATCTGAATAGCTTCCTGACTGAGGACTTCTGTCACTACCTCTATTTGGTATTAATGGATATGACATTTGTTGTACTCATTGGTGTTTGGTACATACTACATAGGACTATTTTAACAAATGATTGGTTAGCTAACAGACTGAAAGGGTGGGGAAGAGAAGAAACTAATTACTTCAAATTAAAATTACCCCATTTTCTCACAAAACCCCAGCTATTTTACACCAAATTTAGTTCAATGTTAGAGAAAACGTTTCATAACTTCAAATGCAAAACCCAAAAATAAACAAACCCCCTTCAAGCTGTTTAAATATAATATTGTGAAAATAAATGTTGCCAGCAATCCAATTTTTATTAATTCTTTTCAATGCAAAGAGCTGTGAAAATTCAATATAAATTTATAAATAATTTCAATTAAATTAAATTGACTAGTTTTAGCAAATAGAACACATATTTTGTTTCACTCTAGAGTTTGCAGTTCTTTAGTATATTTTTTGAGATTTTTCGTAAAAGGAAGCAGTTATTGAGAGGTCTTGAAAAGGGCTTGGAGTATGGCTTTTCCCTCCACCTCAGACACAGGTTGTAAGAGGGTTTTGCTGCCAGGCAGTACATACTAAACTTTTTTCCTGTGCAATTATAGGTACATGGTTATACAAAGGAATTAATACGTCAATCTGATAGCAAAGTCCAACAATGTGTCTACATATCTCATTGCATAATCAGACATGTAATTATGACTGGTTTAAGCCAACTTATTTTGTTTTAAAGGGCTTCTTTGCACTGCAGTCCATGGCACTTTTGGATCAGGAGGTGCTGCCCCTTTGGCAAATGGGGAAGTTCAATCTTGCTTTTCTCAGATGAGTGGTATTATGAACTAAAAATGCATGAATTCTTGCAAGTAAGGTAAGTCTCAAGAGTGTTAATTACTTTCCAAATCAAAATTATTAGTTGTTCTCATCATAGGTTGTATTTCTGAAGAGCACTGTGGTATTGAAATAATATAAACGAACACCTTTTGAAAGATAAAGGAAAATACACAACATTTAAAAAACATACATGTAACATAACACTGGGTACAGTCCTTCTTTATGACCTCTCTTTACATAATTTCAGGGATTCAAAATTCTTGGTGAGTCAAACTGAAGCAGATGTCGAAACTATTCAATATCGGTGAAATGCAGTTTAGAGTCAATAGGATTGGCCGTCTAATGACGATTAAGTATGCTATAAATTTAAATCTTTGAACTACTTGTTGAGATTTATTCAGGCAGACAAACAAAGATAACAAAAGTCTTTTGTGTGTTCATCACTCATTTCCGTTGCTCTGTTGTTGCAGTGTCAAATAATGTCAGTTATTTAAGCACAATTAATGTAATTTTAAATTCTCAACAAATTAAATTATAAGGACTAGCAGTCCAAGGAGGACCCTGCCCATTTTTCTTGTACATTTTCCTTTTTTCTCCCAGTTTTGTGGCAAATTTTAAATTGATGGAAGTTTAGTTTCAATCTTGATTCTTAGAGAAACAGCCTATTTTGATATAAAATTAATTTTATTTTCATGAAGGTATTTCTCCCTGGTTTTGGAGTATAATTGAGGAATATGTAATAATTTTTAGAACATTTGGAAAAGCCAGAGAGGAAGAAGTGATATATTCCAAATTACTCTTACCTGTGCCAGGATTATTTGTTTTAATTTATGAATGTATGTGTTCATTCAGTGCAGGGGTAGCTACCTTTTTAAATCCTGTACTTGGCTGGCTACTAACTTCATTTTAGCAGAATTGGAAGGCAGCATTTTAAAACAATGCCACAATATAAATGACCCCTTAAGGAAAACCGGAGGCTTGATAAGGAAACATACAGTTGTTTTTATCTCCTTCATAAAAGAATGTTAAGTCACTCATTTAGAAATCTTGAAAATTAATTGAAGACAAAAAGATCAGCTATCTCTAGTCTCGCTTAATTAGATTGGGATCAGGAAAGTTATTCTTTAAAAGCAACTTAAAGCTGGTCATCTCAAAGAAGCAAAATTATCACCCATTGTGCCAAAATTATGTTGGTTATGTTGAATGTTGTATAATTTAGGAGGAAGGGGGTGAGATATTTTACATTTTGTGAGATCATACCTCAAGATTTAGTACAGCATCTAGAATTTCTTTGCAAGTTATAAAGACAATGATCCATTGTGTACTTCTATTACTAATTATTCTGTAAAGATTGTCTGTTCCAAAAGATAATTAGAAAAGGTGAAATTTAATTCCATTAAACAGAACTCAGCTGGGACATAATGAAATTTTGTTGCGAAGTAGCAGACTCACTTTGAAGCCAAATAAAAAGCTTTTACATTGATGGAATGAATAAGATTGTAAAAGCTGACACCTTTTTTCTCCTGCACATTTAAAAATAATTAGGCTAAGACTGAATTATATTTACAAGAAGTTTCAGTTCTCAGATATTTCAGGAAAAAGAGATGCCTTCTGCTTTTTACACAGATCAATCTTTAGTACTTGCTTTGCATAAGTCACAGAATATAAGAAACCAAAGTGATCTATACTTATACGGCACCAAACTCCCCCAATTCCACAACTCGGCCTTCCAGCTACTACTGGGAAAACAAATAACCTCAGTGCCTCCCAAAGAAAACCCTGGCTCACCCAGGCAAGCTCTGGGTCTATGGAGACCATTAGACTGGCTCCACGTCTTGATCCTTTTCCCAGAGTCTCTAACTAGAACATACTTGGCCTAGTGATGATTTGGCAGTGTGGACACTTATTTACCCAAAAATAGCCTGAGATCCAGTGCAGAGCTGGACAACTTCACCATTTTGCCCAGTCACCCAGAGAAGCCAGCACTGCTGCACGGAAGGTGTGTTTGAAGTTATGGCTGTGACTGGGTTCAGGTCTTTATTGTCTCATTTGTAGGTCATATGAACCTACTTAATGGCACAGGTCTTATTGTAAAGAAAAGAATGACCTGAATACATTAGTAACCCATTTCTTTGAGGCTAACCACTAAACACAATGCACCAGTAGATAATACGCTTGAGAAAACTCTTTGGGAAAATACGTGAAGCTGCTTGAAACCAACTTGCTTCAGTTCACTGGACCAAGTCCAAACATTACAGGCTTGAGTTTGGCTGACCGGAACGTGGAGCTGCTCCTGCAGTGGGATGAAAACGTTTCACACCACAGTTGTCATGTCCTGTGAGAGTCCTTTACAGGAGCCTGAGCCCTGCACATCCATCATGGGAGGAAGAGAGGCTGAGAAGGAAGAATAAATTAAGAGCTGCCTAGTCAAGTGGAGCTTGGAAGATGCAGGAAAGGGACAGAAGCAAACCTCTAAACCAGACTCCTAAACTGCATGTTCAGTTCCAGCATTACTTTTACCTGCCTTTACATCCCCAAATTAGATGTCTGATTGCTGTCAGTAAAACAGAGGGCTTGGGAAATATTGCACAAGAGGGCATTTTCATATCAGATTTTAGGAAATTCACTACTGCCTGTCTAGCTTATATGGACACTTGCATATATCTGAGCACATCCCAACACCCCAGCAAAGAAAGGAATATTGTAGTTACCAGTTTATAGGAGGGAAACTAAAATATGGAGAGACCAAGAGAGCTGCCCAAAGTCCCATCAATAAGGCTGTGCCTTCCTTGATTCCAGGTAAGCATCCTGAGGACAAGGTAACTTTCCTCTCAAGGATTACACTGTTTCATGAGGCAATTGTTGGTTTTGCAAAAAAAACCCAAGCAGCTCTTTTCTTCACAGTATGCTGAATTTATTTTTTAAGGTCAATTCCTATTTTAACAGGAAGTTCCATTGCTAAATTCTGACATTGATAAGAATTTCATCATACTGCAGCCTAATGACAGTGGATGCTAGGAACACATGTGGTTTTTTGGAGCTCTGTGGAATATTCCCATGAAGAGATACTTAGCAAATGCAGCTTTGTGTACATTTCACAGAACTCTGCCAGCGTTGCTGACTTTTACCCAGGTCTGAGCCTTACTCTATACTGAAGTCACAAAGAGGGGATTAGTAGGGCTACACTGAGGCTGTCACATACATAACTAATTAACTGCTGATTGGACACTGCTAAATCCCCATTTCCTTTGCATTTTATACACCTTCCCCATACAAAGCAGTTCTCATCTAGTAGAAAAATTAAAAAATTGCAGTCAAGGGTAGTAATGAAATAAGCCTCTTCTGAACAATAGTTGTTATATCAATAAGCAACTAAAGCAAGTTAATATGTTGCATCCTCCTGAAGCTGATTTAATTACTATGCTCAATTCACCTCTCCTAAATATGAACAAAAAGTGAAGAATAACAACAAGACCTCAAGTTGATCTTCGATAAAGTCTTTCACTGCATTCTTTATAAAATAAGTTTGAAATCTATATGCTACCTGTTGTCTCAACTCAGTAGTACAGGCGTAAATCTAGAGCAAGTGGGAGTAAGATATGAGGTACAAACACAGTGAAGGTATGACAGAGAAAAGAAATAGGTTTATTTACATTTCAACTCACATGTTTTGGACAAACATGATTTAAACCAGATTCAAGGCAATCAGAACAACCCTCCCCTTTCACAGAAGCAGGTTTACACCAAAAAGGGGGTGTTGGGAGATTCCTCCCCACAGGTAATAGCCTTCCTCTGATACATTTCCAGTAGCTGCCTTGTCTCAAGGCATGTAAACACTTACTACATGATCTGAATTTAATTCTTTTCCATTTCCTGAATGTCAGTTTATTATTTTTCATGCATTTTCTAGGTGTTGATTGGAATAAATAAAAGAACAAATGTTATCCTTCCACATTTTTGGAAATATCAGTTTTCTGAAGTTCAAAATATAACAGATGAAAATTATGGAAGTGTATGGAAATGTTTGCTTTAATTATTTACACTGCTAGGCACTTCAATCAGAACCAGTAATTTTTTCTTTTGGAAATACGAAGCTAAAAATTTATTTCCCAGCTGCAAGGAAAAATTGCTAATACATTATGTGTCTGATTTTCAGAAGTACTAGGCAGTTACCTTGAGGTGCTTCACGCCCTTCATCCCTTCTGTACATAAGACCAAGCTCTTTCCTATATGAACACACATCAAATGTTTACATCACCCTAGTGAAAGAGAATTTCAGAGGTGAGAATAAGAAAATAACAATTTTAAGGACACATCACAAGTGGAAGTGGTAATCAACTACAAAAGCAAATTACTGTTGGATAAAGTAAAGTTTCTCCACTTGTCAGAATAGAATGTGCCCCTCAGTCTGAATCACAGAGCAAATTGTTTTCATCACAAACTCACTACAGAGTCTTTGGTTCTCCAGCCCAAGATTGTTACTCAACTTAAAAAGATAATATAAGTTACAGGAAGAAAGAGGTAGACACTAACTGTGAGCATAAGGACTAAATGACAAGGAAAGTAGTTAAAACTGAATGCAAAGATTGGAAATCCACTAAGTGGGAATTTCACTCACATTTTGTTCATTATTTATCTCCTCTCCATGCTACTGACATCACAAATGGTTCCCAGAGTCTGAATTATAAAATTCATTTTTTGTTATATCAGGAATATTTCTCCATTAACTGTGAAGGATATAGGAAAGGTGCTCACAAACCATGGCTCGGATGGCCTAGCCAGTTATCCTAGAGTTGGTAATCATGACACTGATGCCAAAGACATACCAAAACCTACACAACACCTCAGCAAGACAATTTCTGAACTGCTTCCCTCATATTAGATTTCAGTTAATGCCAAATTCAAGTATATGAATGCCTGACATGAAGGTGGAAGAGAGAAGGGAGGGAGCAGTGAGAAAATATCAGCTGCCTTCAGAAATTAGGTATTACATGAAATAAAAGAGCACGAGACAGAAGGTCAGGTATCCTCTGTTATTAAGAACAAGCAGATTTAGTCATGGTTCCAAGGCTCTCATTAAAGTGAAATTCAATAGTCATTATTTTATTACCAGCTCTAACCTTCCAATGGATATGCCAGTCCTACCACTGTCAGTTTGTTGGAAGCTTTGAGAAGATGCCTGCTGCAATCTGCAGAGATGTAAAAGAGATCATAGAGGGGAACACAGGAGCAGGTTGCATTTCCCCCCTGTTTAACAGCTTAGTATTCAAAGAGTGAAGTAAAGCAAAACACAAGTGTTACTTGTTTGAATAAGGAATATATTGTAGTCAGTGAGATATCCAACATTTGTATGACACCTTTAATATGACAGTGCTGCATGTCTCAGGATTGTGCACAGAGTTCATTTCTAAAAGATCTTAGGATACTTTTTTTTTGTTAATTCTGACTTGTTTCTTACTTGTTACCCAGCTTCACTCCATCAGCACTGCCTGCATGAGAAGGAGGTCTGAGGACTGGATTGAAGAAGCCAAGTTCCCTGCTATTACTCTTTCTCCTTGAGAAACAGCAAAGGTAAAATTCCAGCTTTGTTGCAATAAATGGAACAGACACCAAAATCTTGAAGGGCAGAATTTCACTGTAAGGCTATCTGTAGCATTAATGTAGCCTTCCTATACACACACCCTTCAGAGGAGAGGGGCTTGCAGGTAGGTTAACAAAACCCAATGCCAAAGGCAGGAAGGGGAAAGGCTTTCCAAAACATCTGTCCCCAGGGAATGGGATTCCCCACTACAGACACCTTCTTCACCTCCAGTCTGTTATACTTTGTCCTGAAACTCCATTCCTTACCTAAGCAGACAGTCCTGCACAGTAAGAACCTCATGAACTTCTAGTACTAATTTTGGGCTTCTAAGATTCTTACCAGTCTCCCAAGGCTGATGTTTCCAAAGAAAAGTACAAAGGAATGAAGTCTGCAACAAGAGTTGCATTTCTCTTAAGGTTTGAGCATGTTCTATGGGTTTCTAGTATACGCCAAGGAACAGAAAGCCCACATCTTGTAATGAGTGGGGTAAATCACTGCTAAAGAGGAAATTATCCCTGTTAGACAACATGAATGAAATAATTTTTTTTGGTGATTACTTGGTTTGGGTTTTTTTTATATTCTCCATTATTTTTAAAGACCCTTTCCTTATTCAAATGAGCATTCACTGATTAGCACCAGTATCTCTTTACTTTTGGTATACATTAAGAAAATTAAATGGAATATTCTTAGAAAGACATCTGTGCCTGGGGTGACTCACATTTGATCAATCCATATGAACTGTTCTTTTCAGAGGATGTGCAATTATTTGCTCAGTTAGGATTAAACTTTTTATTTATCTAATCACCCCCCTGTAAAGCTTTGATCTGAGCTTCCAAAACCTATTTTTCTAACCACTTTAGCTACATATTTTAAGTCTTATTGTCTAATCAACTTCAGGCTGTAAAACATGCAATGTCCTACTTAATACACCCTATTAGGAAATCAAGCTGCCGCATGGATTTTTAGATCCTCATTTTGCAACCCCGTGAGCCATTTGGAAGCATCATTAATGTCATTATTCCAGGAGAGAAGGAGAAAACTGGCAGCAGAGTGAGCCCTCTACACGGTTGTCAGCTTTGCCCTGCTAACATTTGCAGAGTGACTCAGAGGTGAATCACAGGTTTCTGCAGGTGTACACCAGGGAGAGCTGGATGATTTCCATGTCACAGTGGTTGCAAATGTTTACTTCATTAGTTCATGGGGTTACTCAGCAGTCCTAGCCAACTCAATTTCTCAATCTTACTGTATGGCAGTTTAAAAAAAAAAAGAGAGTAGATAGCAGCTTTGAAATAAAAAACGCAAAACCAACCGTCAATTTGTAATTAGAAAATCTGAGCAATGATGGAATGTGAATGGATTTACATGTAGCTGTCATTAAACACACATTATGAAATATTTCAAACTGTATCCAGTGTTAGGTCTGTTAGGCTCTTCACCATAACAGTAAAGGATATAATTACTATATCCTTCTCCAGAGCAGTACACCCTGCACAAGGAATGGTCTCTGAACTGTGCGTGGATGGGGATCTCTATCCACTGAAAATACATTTGTTGTAAGAAAACTTACAACCATGTCTCTACTTAGGAACTAATTCAAGAGCTTCTTCCAAGTGTCCAGGTATTTCACAACAAGCCTTTGCATGTATAAGAGCAGTCACTTGGGATTTATGGTGGCATTTCCCACTCACTGCTTCTGGTGCGGCTGGAGATTAAACTCCCAAGCCGTGTCTTCTTACATTTCAAGTTTGTCAACGGTCCACCTGCCATAGGTAGGAGAAAAATCCTGTGTGCAGGACACCAGGTAGCTGTGTGAACCTCTCTACCTTCAGTTTCTCTGAACTAGATTCCATAAGCTACTTATTTACCCATTTTACTAGTCTATTCCGGTCATTTTGAATTTTATTATCTTTTGACTTCATGTTAATTCGCTCCCCACAAGATTGTGTCATTGGCAAATGTTATCACTTGACTTCATGTTCCTACTTAAAGGCTATTAGTGTGTAAAGTGAATAAAATCAAGTCTCCCGGGACTGATCCTTGACCTGTGCCATACTATAAGTGACCTCCAGTCAGCATGAACTCCCAAATGTTTCCATTTACATGAATTACTTGTCTTGGATGTAGAAACTTTTCCCCCATGGTCAAAGAAAACCCTTTCCTTGCCTTTTCATTATTTTACCTTGTAGATTATGTTTTGCCTACTTACCATACCCAAAGGATTCTGTAAATCCTGGTAGGATTTTCTCTTTGATACAAAACCAATAACAGGTTGCAACCAAGTCAGCTCATTCCTGCAATTAAAATTGATCAAGCTATCTGATACTCAGTAGAAATACAGACACTAAGGCCTAATTTTCCCTCAAACAAGCTTGACCAGTTGTAGGGGAGTAAAATGCTGACTAAAGATGGAAGTCTATGAAGAGAAAATGGAGCTAAGAGACCCACAAAAGCTGAAAGTTCTGTTTATCCCAGATTTCCTCCACATTTTATGCAAACAGCTGACATCTTCCAAAGATCTCATTAGAGCCTACCCAACCAGAGAAGAGAGTACTACGCCAGCTATGCACACAGTGCATGACTATATCAATGACATGCTTCCTTAAGGATGCACTTTCAACCTCTGAAACACTTGTCTACCTGAACTATGATCTTTAGAAAATAATGTAGGAAAAAAATGCAAGCTTGTGAGAAAAGAGACACTTAAAACATATAGTCTGAGCTCATCCCAATAACCTAATGTGAGTTCTGCATGCTCACACTGAAACAGCAAATGAAATCCAGGGAATCTCTCTGGATTCAGAATATCTCAACACAAGAATGGCCACGTAGTGTTTATTAATAAATCTAGCTGGATTATTCTGGCCAAGGATCCTACCGGGTGTCATCTACACATGAAAGAAACTCCACAAACACTTGCAGTTACAGAAGAGCAGTCTTGGTAACCCTGACGATCCTTTCCAATCCTCCACTCCCAAAAGAACAAACAGTGCCCTAAAGCACCGGGTGACCAGCAAAGAGCAGGGATGACAGTTGGCACGGACAGATGGAGGCTGCCTGGTGGCAGGATCTCACAGCAGGAGGCTCAGCACCCCTCACCAGGCACCACCAGGCTCTGCGGCACCAGCCAGATTGTGCTCTGGGTAGCACAAAGTTTCCTGGACTAAATTACAGGAGCAGTGCTTGAGTTACCAAGGGGAAATCCAGGGAAGGAAAGCCTCCAGCTCTCCTCCTTGGCAACAAACAGTATTGTCACAGCTAATCCAGGTGTGAGGGAGCTCCTCTGCCCCAGCAGCAAGGAAAGAGCAAAGAGAGAGTTCCTCCAGGGATCCTGCATTGCAGGGTGTAACAGAGGTGTGAAGACACTGTACATCTACCTGGTCTTTATTTTACGTATTACTTTAGTAGTTTATGTTCCAGGCCCCACAAAAAACAATCAGATGAGGTAGGTGCTCAATATGATGCAGGTTCACAGTCATGTTTATTAACATCTCCCCTTAAAAATATCTTATTTCTGACTTAGATAAAACAGCATCCCACCAAGGCAATGACTGCATAAATACCCATTTTTACTCAGCAGCAACTATCTAAAAATAGAGTTGAAGACAGATTATTAAATCCCATTAGGAAGAGATAGTCTCTTAATCAAGTTACCCTCCTAAAATTGGTATCAAATACTTTCCAGGTCTTAACTGCAGATGACAATGCAAGAGAGGAAAGAAATACAGCTAAAATTATGAGAATACTGTGCTAAGCCGTAAATCACATGGCACTGCAAACAAATTGTTTAGATGTGCTTTATTTAAAAACTATTAGCATGTTATGCTATACTTACTTAAGTAAACTGTAAAAATATTCTCAAAACTAGCACTAGATATTATGAATCCTTTTCTCCTGTGAACACACTGCCCCCAGGGTAAAGGAGCACTAAAACTTACTACAGCTATAAATATCTTGGTTTTCACATGGCCTGACTGAAAACCATGTAGGTGTGCTTGGCATTTAACTTGGGGAAGTCGTGTCAGCTCCCCTCCCTTCCTCCTCCCCATGCTAACAATGCTGTTTGGCAGCTTTTTCACTTTATCTCGCCACAGATCTTTGCCAAAACTTGAATCTGCTCCTGACAGATTAACTGCCACCATAAAAGAAACTGGCTTCCTTTTTTTTTTTCCTGTGGATTCTGATTGAAAGGATAAGCTTGAACGACAATCTTCTCAAATGGCCTGGTCCTCTCTCAGGTCTGGGGTTGGGAAACGAGAACCAATACAGTTGGAGAGGCTTTAGTTAGTCAGTAACCACACTTTGAATTCAATTATTTGAACAGTACAACAGACTGAGACCAGATTCCCAGCTGTTTTGTAACTTATGTTGTCACTTGCACCTGTGCAAAGTGGGCACAAAATACTTCTAATTTGGCAGTTGGGAATTAGACCCCATATTTACATTTGCTTCCTGATTCCTGACTTTATTCATCAGCCAGCATGTGGTACACAAGCTGATGAATTATTGTTTAGCTTGTTTTGAAAACACATCACTTGCAAACATACTTTAAAAAGCTCTGCAATAATTAGCTGCATTTTATTTTCTATGCTAACTGCACCTTTTTATGCCTTTTTATGTATACAAGCATACGCAAGTACATTTATGTTAAGTTAAATTTAGTCCTTTAAGATTAATTTAGGGTCAAAATCAGGTCTGAGTGAACACAACCGTGAACACAAAGATTTCAACAGAATTCAATAACCTTAAACTAGGCCTTAATTCTGCCTTTTGCCTCAAAGAACATTTCAGATTTCCAGTCTACAGGGGACATTTTAAAATATTAAATATTATTTTTGCATTCATGAAATATAGGCAAGATTGCAGCTAACCCCATCCATATGTCTTGACCAAGCTATGTTAAATTATCTTGCATTTTCTTTGGATCAAGGCTCCTGAATGCTGTTATATTGACATACAGGAACCTGAATGGGCACCTGTACCCTTAGCTGTGTCCAGTACTGAAGATCCAGTGCAACAAACAGCGTCCTGTTCCTTCCTG